CAAAAAATACGGTAATACTAGAATACACTCATACATACACACAAGTATGTATGTATTCGTATATAAATATATGTATATATCAAAAGTAGGCAGGAATATTTATCTTTCCGAACAAGCTTCAAAGACAACTACAGTGGTGCCCCGCATAGCGACGATAATCCATTCCGGAAAAATCGTCGCTATATGGATTCGTCGCTATGCGGAACAAAAAAAGCCAATAGAATACACTCATACATACACACAAGTATGTATGTATTCGTATATAAATATATGTATATATCAAAAGTAGGCAGGAATATTTATCTTTCCGAACAAGCTTCAAAGACAACTACAGTGGTGCCCCGCATAGCGACGATAATCCATTCCGGAAAAATCGTCGCTATATGGATTCGTCGCTATGCGGAACAAAAAAAGCCAATAGGAATGCATCAAAACACGTTTAATGTGTTCCTATGGGCAAAAAACTAACCATTATGCGAAAATCCTCCATACAGCCGCCATTTTCGCTGCCTGGTAAGCAAGGAAAGGGCGCAAAAACACTGCGGGCGGCCATTTTTTACCCGGCGACCATTTTGGAACCGCCAATCAGCTGTTAGAAAAAACATCGCTATGCGAAAATCGGTAACTGAAACAGCTTACCAATTGTCGCAAAGCAATGTTTTACCATTTGAAACATTGCAATGCGATCGCTTTTGCGATAGCAAAAAAGCCATCGCTATGCGGATTCGTCATTAAACGGGCCGCCCGTTATGCGGGGCACCACTGTACTTGGGGACTGAATGCTATTGCCAGGTTCATGACAAGATGACCAAAAAAAATGCAAATGTGGTTTCTTTCATATCGTTTCCCCATGTTTGAAAATGACCATTGATTACAAAAAGGAAATAGATTCAGGTATTTAAAACATATTTATAAAACAATAATCTAATCCTAAAGCCAATAAAGCCATCTGCCAGTCTTCTCCTTTGTCTCCATTCTTCTGATACACATCAGTGCTATGTATGCATGTATGTATGCATGCACGTATGCATGCACATATGCATGCATGCATACGCTCTCTCTCACACACACAGAGCAGCTGCCGACTCGTTGCTGAACATCCACAAGCTCAGTTTAACCCAGGCTGGAAAGACACCACTGAGAGGTTTCAAACATATTCATTCCTATGTTTCATATGACTTTGTCACTGTTTATGACTGATTTTGGAAACTATACCTATGAAAGTAGAATCAGGACACTGATACCAATCTTCAAATGCCCTGTTCCAAGTCCCCATGAGGGAATGAAACTGGTTGAAATCTAGTAGTAAATTGCAATTAGAGTACTCCCATTGAATCAATGGAGCTTACATAGGTGTTGATCCACCAAATCCCTACCAATTCAACAACCCTACTGAATTTCAGCCAGTTTTTACCCCCAGGTCTTTAGAACCCTGTCAGAGTTTGGCAACAATGCATTAGATCTAATGTTAATTAATGCCAAAATCATACTGATGTCATTATTTCCACATTATCAATAATAATTCATCTATTTTTTAATCATGTTTTGAAAGTAGCATTTAAAACTTTATTTCTCAAAACACTGCTCTTTAGATGCATTAATTGGCTTATCCTCCCATTAACACAAGGGCAACATTTAAACATTGAGACATTATTTTCCCCTACTTACAAACCATGCAAAGGGATCTTCACCAGCTTCCAGCAATCTCTAGTCCTCTCTTTTATTTTCTCTCTTTCTTTTTTTTTGGGGGGGGGGCAGGTCAAAAGCTCTTTTGTGCTTAGCCCTCCCAGGGCCAAAATACACATTACAGACAAACCACTGACAGAAAATATACTTTCTTATGTGCAGAAATGGTATGACTGTTTGCTTTGGCATGTCAAGCACAAAGGTTTGTCAGTCAGTCAGTCATAAACCTTTATTGGCATTTGATTACATTTAAAGGAGTGAGCAGTGTGACCAAGAAAATAAAGGGAACAAATTAGGACTGAAGTTGGGAAGGATGGGGATTGTGGTTTCTCATAAGAATAGTTAACAGAAATTCCGCCACGAGATAGGTAGTAGTTGGAAGGGAGTCACTAAGGAGGATTGGGAGGGGATCAGAAAGGGCAGGAGGGAGGGTTAGGAGAAAGGGGTTTAGTAGGGAAGATCTAAGGGCGGAGTGAGAGGGGCAACGAAGTAGGATGTGGGCTACTGTGTCTGGTTCACGGGAGCAGAATGTGCATAGTCTGTTTGGACGGGGCGTATTGGAATATCTACCAAGATGGTAAGCAGACGGGAAGATGTTTAAACGAGCAAGAAGGAAGGCCCTCCTTTTCCTTGGGTCTGTCAGGTGAAAAAGGTAACTAGCTGGGCAGCCCATTAAGGGGGGGGAGCCCGAAGTAGGATGGTGAACAGGTGGGATTGAGGTTTGATAGGAGGGTTCGAGTTTCTTGTTCCAGTAATTTGGACTTAATGATGAGGTAGGCTTTTGAAAGGTCGAGGTCAGCCAAGATTTCAGGGGATAGGTCAAGGGTGGAAAGTTTGGCGTCTACTAGTTTAAACCAGTTTGATATATGAGAATCTT